CTGGGAATTGAACCCAGGTCCTCTGGAAGAGCAGTTAGGACTCTTAAGTACTGAACCCTCTCTCCATCCCCTAGAGGTTTAAATTCTTGATCAGGTAAGTTTAGCATCCCTGCCGTGTCTTATTCTAGTGTCTTGGTCTTGGTCAATCTTTTCATCTCTTCAAACTGTGCCTTTAGAAAGTCTTCATATGTAGATACGATGTATCAGGCAAAAAGAACACTGTAAATAGTTGTGGTGCGGTTAGGTAGGGTGTTGGGGGCTTGATGGTCCTATCAAGCCTGAGCTCGTGCCTCAGGAGTGAACCTCAGAAGTGCTTTTCAATCCTCCCATCCCCGACTTCTGAGGTGGGACAAGATGGCCATCGTGGGCTCCAGTGGGTGCTTCCCTTCCCTCAGGTCAGCTAGGCTGGGATAAGAAGCTTAGGCTGTAGTTAATAACTTCTCTTGAGAGCAGACCTTATTTAAGGAACAAATCCGTTGTTATTTCAGAATGGTCCTGTTCCTGTTCCCTCTGCAGGAGACTTTCTTACAGTATTCACTGTGGGTACTCAGTGTAGCTCCTACAGGTAAAACGCACAAAGCCTTTCCCTCGCCCTCCCCATGACTGGGCTCCCGGTGGTGTAACTCTGAGATGTGTCCCCTCTGCCTCCAGCAGCTGTACCTGCTGTGGTAAGGTCCCCCTGCCTCAGAGTCTGCTCTGCTTTGCTCTGTGTCCATCTGCCTGTGGATCCCTTTCCCATTTTCTCACCTCTCTTTCAGAGAGAATAGCAACTCTTCAGTCATGTAACTACTGCTTGTCCCATCAGAGTTGTGTCTCCCAAACTTCTGATCCACAGAACCGGAACCACTAGAGTCTCCTCTGGAAGTATTTTCAAATGGGAGCTCCAGAAAATAAGCTGGGGACTATGCAGAGACTGAAATGTGCCAGGCGATGGTGGCGCACACCTTCAATCCCAGCGCTCAGGAGGCAGAGGCAGCTGGATCTCTGAGTTCGAGGCCAGCCTGGTCTACAGAGTGAATTCCAGGACAGCCAGGGCTACACAGAGAAACCTTGACTCAGAAAATTAAAAAAAGAGAGAGACCGAAACGTTTCTAGGTTCAGCCTAAGAAAATAATTGTTGCCCAGAAATGCAAGGATGTTCATTGAGATTTATAGGGGTAAATAAATGGCTGAATATAGATTGCTGCAGCTATGAGTAGATATTAAAAAAAATTTTTGAAGAATATTTAAAGGAATACTGTCCTAGTTAGCCTTCTGTTGCTGTGATAAACACCATGACCAAAGCAACTTGAGGAAGGACAGGCTTTGTTTTAGCTTACAGCCTACAGTCCGTGGTTGAGGAACACCAAAGCAGGGACTCAAAACAGGAGGAGCCTGAGGCAGAGACCACAGAGGAGCATCCAGCCTCACACTTAGCTACCGTCCTTTTTTTTTTTTTTTTTTTCTGGTTTTTCGAGACAGGGTTTCTCTGCGTAACAGCCCTGGCTGTCCTGGAACTCTCTTTGTAGATCAGGCTGGCTTCAAACTCACAGAGTTCCGCCTGCCTCTGCCTCTGCTGGGGTTAAAGGCGTGCACCACCACTGCCCAGTTTAGCTACCTTTCTTATCCAACCTAAGACCACAGTGGACTGGGCCCTCCCACATCATCAACAGTCAAGAAAACGTTTCACAGGCATGCATGCCCACAGGCCAGTTCAATGGAGGCAATGCTTCACAGGCATGCATGCCCACAGGCCAGTTCAATGGAGGCAATGCTTCACAGGCATGCATGCCCACAGGCCAGTTCAATGGAGGCAATGCTTCACAGGCATGCATGCCCACAGGCCAGTTCAATGGAGGCAATGCTTCACAGGCATGCATGCCCACAGGCCAGTTCAATGGAGGCAATACTTCACAGGCATGCATGCCCACAGGCCAGTTCAGTGGAGGCAACTTTCAGTTGCTGGTTCCTCTTCTTACACATCAAGTTAACAACCAAGATTACCCATCACAAGTACCAAAAGACTAACTGCACATTAAGGGGGTGATGGGGAGGACGTAGAACTAGATAAACATTTGATCTTGAATGCCTTCAAAAATCATGTAGAATAAATATGCACGTTTTACTATTGGCAGGAAACATAACAAATGTTTACTGGTTATTTTTGGACTGTGGGTTTATGAATGACTCACTTTCTTCTTTTATTTTCCTTTTTATTTCTTTTGCAAATTTTCTACCAACACATGATTATACTTAGAATAGAGAAAAAATGTAGTTTAAAAGGGGTTAGAAAAGCAGATGTGTCCATAGACAAATCAGTAGATTCCTGAATATGGGCCATAGTAAATATACATATATGCACATACAAATACATATATTCTGTCTCTGATAACCATAGAAAATAACCAGCTGACTAATCTTGTGTATGAGCGTGCATCTCCTTTTCAGTGGCTGTCCCACTTTTTAAAAGTTTTATATAGCACTTTTGCATGTCTGTGTGGTGTGTGTGTGTGTGTGTGTGTGTGTGTGTGTGTGTGTGTGTGTAGGCCAAAGGATGATGCTGTGTGTCTTCTTCAATTTCTCTCCACTTTATTTTTTTTAAGATTTTATTTTTGCTGGGCGGTGGTGGCGCACGCCTTTAATCCCAGCACTCGGGAGGCAGAGCCAGGAGGATCTCTGTGAGTTCGAGGCCAGCCTGGGCTACCAAGCAAGTTCCAGGAAAGGCGCAAAGCTACACAGGGAAACCCTGTCTCGAAAAAACCAAAAAAAAAAAAAAAAAAAATTTTTATTTTTATTTTAAATTGTGTGTGTGTGAAGATTTTAAATTGTGTCTGTGTGCATGTGGATTTGTACATATGTGTGCAAATGCCCACAGAGGCCAGAGTATCAGATCTCCTGGAGCTGGAGTTACAGGTGACTTTAGTTGCTTTACATGTGTTCTGGGAACTGAATTCAGGTCCTCTGGAAGAGCAGCAAATGCTTTTAATCCTGAACCATCTCTAGGCCTTTCTACCTTATTGTTTGATGCAGGATCTCCCACTAAATCCAGAACTTACCTCTTTGGCTAGACTAGCTATCAAGCAATTCTCAGGGATCCTCCTGCCCCAGCCTCTCCATTACTGGGATTACAATCATGCACCGCTGTACTCAGCCTTTCTTCCATGGGTTCTGGGGATTGAACCCAGGACCTCAGGCCTGTGTGGCAAGCACTTCACTAAATAAGCCCATCTATCCAGCTTACAACTCATTTACATATATATGTTTATGTGTGTGTGTGTGTGCGAGTATGTTCAATGAACAGACTTTTAGTATGCAAAATAAGTCTGCAAATCACTGAGTTTCTTCTACATAACACCTACAGAGGGTCCACATCATACTCAAGTAATAAGCCGTGAGTTGGTTGACACCTTATTTTAGTTCAGGCTTAGACTTGACTGTAGATGTAACCAATCGTTTTATTAAATAAGAAACACAGAACCAATGCAAAGAAGAAAGCCAAGAGATCAGAGCTAAGAGCCTTACCCACCTGCTGCAGCTAGCCTCTTCAGCCAAGAGGGACCTCTCTGAAAGAGACCTACTTCCTGTCTGTTTGTCTTTGTATAGACTTTCTGTTCTGCCTTCTCATTGGTTGTAAAACCAACCACATGACTGCCTCGTCACTGCCTGTCTGTATAGACCTCCAGGTCTTCTATGGTTGGTATTGAGATTAAAGGTGTGTGTCTCCAATGCTGGCTGTATCCTTGAACACACAGAGATCTACCTAGCTCTGCCTACCAAGTTCTGGGTTTAAAGGCATGCACCACCAACGCCCAGCTTTTGCTATGACTCTAATAGCTCTAACCCCTGGGCAACTTTATTTATTAACATACAAATAAAATCACATTTCAGTACAAATAAAATATCACCATACTTGACACTGCTAGTAACTTTTCTTTTACAAACACCTAAAGAAAAATCACTTGTGGGGGATGATGACTAATAGATATATGGATGGATAAATCATGATGATCCTTGAAGACTCAATGGTGTACATACATAGACAGACAAGCAAGATTAGATTGCTCCCTACACAGAAGGATTTGAGATGGATTATTGTAAAAGGCAGACACCGAGTGAACTTTGAAGAACAAGCATAACTTTGAATAGGGCCAGTGTGTTCTGTGGTAAGAACTGTGAGCAAAAGCTGGGGGTAGGAAAACAAGGGACGTATCTGAAGAAGAATTAGTGGCCAGCAATTTGTGTAGAGTTGTAGACTGTAAGTGAATGGAGGACAAGTGGGTGAGAATATTAGTATAAAGTCAGTTGAGGGGCAGGAGAAATGACTCAGCAGCTAAGAGCATGTACTGATTTTACAGAGGACCAGAGTTCTCAGCATCCACGTCAGATGGCTCATAAATACCTATAAACCAGTTGCAGGGGACCCTATGTCTCTGGCCTCCTTGAGCACCCACACTCATGTGCATACACACATAGTTTTATTATTTTATTTTTATTTGTTTTGTTTGTTTGTTTGAGACAGGTTTCTCTGTGTAGCCCTGGCTATCCTGAAACTCACTCTATAGACCAGGCTGTTCTCAAAACTCAGAGATCCACTTGCCTCTGCCTCCCAAGTGCTAGGATTAAAGGTATGTGCCACTACCACCTGTCTACAATTAAAAAACAACAAGAACAAAAAGCTGGTTGGAGGGCTGGAGAGGTGGCTCAGAGGTTAGGAGCACTGGCTGTTCTTCCAGAGGTCCTGAGTTCAATTCCCAGCAACCACATGGTGGCTCACAACCATCTGTAATGAGATCTGGTGCCCTCTCTGGCCTGCAGGGGTATAGGCAGGCAGAACACTTGTATGTGTAATAAATAAATAAATAAATAAATAAATAAATAAATAAATAAATAAATAAATAAATAAATAAATTTGGTGTCCTGGACTAAATACTTCTCCAGGTGCTGTGTGGGGATCTGGACAGGGGAGTGGGGTAGGCTGAGGAGGACATAGGCAGCTTTTGTTCTTTGTACATCCCTTCCAGGACTTCTACCTGACAGCCAGGGTGCATCTGTGGAGCAAGACCAGCCGTCACCAGGCTCACTGACTGTGTCATCCCCAGTGAAGTAGTCTGGTAGGTCAGAGCCCTTGCCTTATAGAAGAGAAAACTGAGGTCTAGGGGTGTGAAGTCCACAGGGTCTTGCTGTCTTTCTCAGGTGGTTTCAGACATGCCACCCTCATAACAAGGCCTCTCTGAGTGTTGATAGGCTTGAGCTACCACACTTGACCTGAGAGGCAGGATGCTTAACTGGGCTGTAGAGTTCTCACAAATGCTCTGTTGGCCACAGCACTAGGCAGGGTCTCTCTGAAACAGGAAACAAACCAACTTGATAAAATGATGTCTTGTCTACTTACTTTTTTGGGGTGCTTGGGATTGAACCCAGAGCTTTATGTAAATGAAGTACAAGTTCTAGACCGGAGCCACATGGCAGCCCAGATATTCAATTTGCCATGGACAATGAAAAGCCCTTTCAAATCCACATGTGGTCTGATTCCCTGTCTTAGGGTTTCTATTGCTAGGATGAAACACCATCACCAAGAGCGATTTGGAAAGGAAAGGATTTATTTCATTTATACTTCCATATTGCAGTTTATCATCAAAGACAATCGGAACAGGAACTCAGGAACTCAAAGAGGGCAGGAACCTGGAGGCAGGAGCTGATTCAGAGGCCATAGAGGGGTGCTGCTCACTGACTTGCTCCTCATGGCTTGCTCAGCCTGCCTTTTTTGTTTCTTTGTTTTTTTGGTTTTTTTTGGGGGGGGGTTTGAGACAGGGTTTTTCTGTGTATCTCTCACTGTCCAGGAACTCACTCTGTAGACCAGGTTGGCCTCCAGCTCAGAGATCTGCCTGCCTCTGCCTCCCCGAGTGCTGTGATTAAGGACGTGAGCCACCACGGGGCCTCTTAGACTGCTTTCTTATAGCACTCAGGATGGCCAGCCAAGGGTTGGCCCCACACAAAACAGGCTGAGCCCTCCCATATGATCACTGATGACAAAAATATACTACATGCTTGCATACAGCCGGATTTTATAAGAGGCATTTTCTCAACTGAAGTTCCTTCCTCCTAGTTTGTGTCAAGTTGAAATAGCCAGCACACTCCTGTGAAGGGATTGAACTGAAATTCTGAAAGCTCTCAGGGCTGGAAAGTGGTAGGCTGGGACTCAAACCTAAGTTTTCTTTTGCCATACATGGTAGCTGGCCAGCACCATCCTTTCATGTAGGGATTGTGAGAAATGTCTCACCAGATGCCAGATGCACAGATGTGTACTCCTTTAATCCCAGCACTCCGGAGGCAGAGGCAGGCAGGTTCAAGGCCAGCCTGGTCTACATAGAGAGTCCAGGACAGCCAGAACTATGTTGTGAGACCCTGTCCTGAAAAACTAAAAAGAAGAAGAAGAAGAAGAAGAAGAAGAAGAAGAAAGAAGAAGAAGAAGAAGAAGAAGAAGAAGAAGAAGAAGAAGAAGAAGAAATGTCAAACCAGAAACCTTAGGAATGCATTCTAGGCTTTGAAACCCCTCATGGAGATTTTTGCTTTCCCAAGGTTTCCATAACCCAAGACCAATCATGATCTGAAAATATTAAATGGAGTATTCCAGAGGTTAACAATCCATAGGTTTTTGATTGTGCCCCTTTCTGAGAAGCATACTGAAATCTCCCACTGTCCTACCTGGGATGTCAACCATCCAGTCGCCGCTTTGTTCCCACCCCCCTTCTGCCATCCTACCCACCCACTGGTTCCTAAGCACCATGTTGGTTACCATAGTGCTGTGATGACTGTGTTCAAGGGACCCATGTTTTACTTAACAGGAGGATTGAGAGTTCAAGACCACCCTGGGGTACAGAATAGCAAGACTGTGTGACATGAATTTCTAAATGGTCTTATTAATAAAAACCCCAGAGCCAGATATTGGGGTGAAAGCTGAAAGATCAGAGAAACAGAACAAGCCAGCCACAAGTACTTACCTCTACGAAATCCTCAGCCTCAAGAGAGTGTGTTCCTGTTTCCTCATGTCTTATATATCTTTTTCTGCCCTGTCATCTTACTTTCTGGGATTAAAGGTGTGTGTGCTTCCCAAGCAAGGGCATGAGATCTCAAGAGTTGGGATTAAAGGTGTGTGCCACCATGCCTGGCTCTGTTCCCAGTGTGGCCTTGAACTCACAGAGATCCAGATCTGTCTCCTAGTAATAGGATTAAGGGTGTGTGCCATCACTGTCTGGCTTCTATGTCTAATCTAGTGGCTGGCTCTGTCCTCTGATCCCCAGATAAGTTTTATTGGGGTACACAATATATCACCACAAGACTCTCTCAATCACCCCCCACAACACACATGTGAGAGCAAAAAAAGAGGCAGGTGAGGTGGTACCAACCTGCCATCTCAACACTTGGCAAGCAGGAGGATCAGGAGTTTGAGACCAGTCTTGACTGTAGAGCAGGTTTGAGGCCAGCGAGTGTACTTGAGACCCTGTTTCAAAAGCAAAGAAATGGAAGTGTAATAGTGTCGGTGCTTGTGATCTGAATGAGCAAAAATACCATAGAAAGTGTCCTTTAAGTAAAAAGATAAATGTTTAGTATCAGTATATATATGCCCCGGGGTGGGGTGGGGTGGACACATGTACCGGACTTGGTAGTAGCCACAGCTGCATTAGCTGAAAGTGTGAGAACCCAGGGACAAGTGGTGACACCGTTGTAACACCCCCCACCTCCCACACCCCCACACCCCCTACACTCCCTACCCCACCCCCGGTGACTCTGAGGCATAGTGGAGTTTCAGAAGCTTTGCTTAAGCGCGTGACTCATTGACTGTGGGGGATATGGGAACGTCAAGACTGGCCTCTCTGCTCAGTTGTCTCAAGTGAGCCTGCTCAAGGGACCTGGGAGAGGCGGGGCAGCTAGCAACAGACAGAGAATGGGCCAATCCAGGACCCAGGCAGCCGCAGATGCCAGGGAATTGAGGAACACAAAGGATATAAATTTTACAAGTCTAAACGTTTTGTCTTAGTACAAGCCCCCCCGCCCCTCCCCAGCCTGGCACCGCTGCTACTTGCCCGCCGCCCGCCGCATACCTGTGGGGATTTACACCCACTCTGAGGAGAGATAGCTGGGATTCCTCCAGCCTGGGAATGAGGTGTGTTTGACAAGTCTGCCCCACTGGAGAGATTAAGGATAATGAAAGACCCAGGTGTAGATGGATGTCTCTCTTTTGTCACCTGGAACTGCCTCTCTTTGCTCTGTAAGAGAGAGCCGCTGAGAGCGAGAGTGTCTGTTCCCACAGGGCGTGTGGGAACAGACACGCAAGGGCTGGGGGAGACTCCCTTCTGCAGAGCAGAGGCCAGCAGGGCTTAGCATCCCTGAGTGGTCAGGGTCGGGATAGTGTGGAAACAGGGGTTGGTGGGAGGGTGCTATGGCCTTTGCAAGAGCTGCCAAGGCTGGATGGGGGTGTGGGGGCGTGGGGGTGTGGGGGCGTGGGGGCGTGGGGGTGTGGGGCGGGACTGGGCTAGACACAGCAGGAGAGGAGGACAATGGTCCCCTGCAGAGGCGGACTCCGGGGGGGGGGGGGAAGCAGAAGTGTTTCCCAGGCTGAGGGTCAGGCTTCTGTCCTTTTGTTCTTGTATGGAAACTTGGGACCCTGCTGTGTGGTCAGTGCCAATTTTCAGTCCTGGTCCGTAGACAGCTGCCCTCCACAGCCAGGACCCCTCCCCAGCTTCTTTCTTTCTTTCTTTCTTTTTTTTTTTCAGAGCTGAGGACCGAACCCAGGGCCTTGCGCTTGCTAGGCAAGCGCTCTACCACTGAGCGAAATCCCCAACCCCCAGCTGCATTTTCTTAGAAAAGGGACTCCAGCATTATAACTCCAGCCAGGCTCAGCTGGGCAAGAAGGCTGATTGTGGGGTGAGGGGCTGGGAGAGATGGGGTGCCTTGCTGCCCTGGACAGCCGCCTCTGCCTGGGGTTCTCACAACGCTCTGCCCAGCTGTGGAATCCTCCACCGCTCTGGTCGTGAACTGTCAGCAGGAGGGCTGGGGAGGAGAAAAACCGTTGCGGAGGCTGTGACTTGCCTGGGTTGCCATAGTAGTCTTGGTAACAGGGACCTAGGCCTGGACAGGACAGGGTGCTGCTCTAGATGAAGGAGCAGGCCAGGGCCTCCCAGGTCGACAGGGTGGAATCTTCTCCAATCCCGGGCTTTCTTTTCTCCATCGAGGAGAAAAATGGAGCTGGGCAGTGTGAGGGTGCCTGAAGGGGAGGTATACCGCGCAGGGCTGGGGTGGGAGAGCAAATGAGACATAAGCCAGTGCACGTGCCACTAGCATCCCAAGCCCCAGGAGTTCAGCATTGCTGGTGACACCCCGAAACCCTTTCCAGAGCCACAGCGGCCTACAGGCAACTGCCCCGGGAGGTTGAGAAAGAGCAGGACAGAGGAAGAAACCCTGTTGTTTTTGTCTCCCCCCTTTTCCACGTGACACGCAGTACTTTTTCCTCCTCCCATAGAAGCCTATCCCCAACTCCCAGCATCCTGATGTGACCTACTTATCTGCTCCCTTAGAAGGGAGGTGCCCTGGAAGGCTCCCAGACAGGCGTTCCCTCAGAGTCTCTGACAGGCTCTTTAACAAGGAAAGTGCAGAGGCTGTAACCGGTGAGGGTGGAGTAGGGATGTTGGGAGGGGCGGGGAAGAGAGGTAGATGGAGGCTAGCGGAACAGGGTAGAGGGCTCCAGGTGCCATTGACTACCAAGACCTGCACAGACCATCACTGATGGTGTGGACCTAGAAGGACAGAGTGGGTTCCACTTCACAGATTAGGAAACTAAGACTCAAAGGTCAGATAAATGCTCACTGAACCGTGGATAAACAGCTCCTAAAAGATCTGGGACCATCTTTATTTTCCCCTACTGGTCATTTTGTTTTTTCCAGTAAGGAATTGAAGTTCAGAGAAGTTAAGTCATTTGTGAAAGTCACACAGCAAGCAAGTAGCAGAGCTGAGGTTTGAACCCATGTCTATCTGAATCAAACATGGGCTCTAGCCCTTCCTAGACTACAACTTTATTGGACTTAATAAGAAATGATTTAACAAAGCAGAAATC